ATAATAAACAAAGATCTAAATGAACTGTAATATTATTCGCATCTTTTTTGATTAAAATTACTGCTTTTTTATTTTTTAAAAAATTTTGTCATTGCAAAAACACATCACTGACAGTTAAAACCTTTAATGCTTTAATATTTCCTGTTCTCGATTCAGTATACTGCTGTTTCTTTTGCTGGATGTTGGTTTAAACTACTGCTTTCATCATCATCAGGTTCCGCAGCTCTTAATTTTGCTTCTGCAGCCTGTTGAGCCCTCCTATGAAAGATAAGTTGAATAATAATTAATCTGTTTAAACAGAAAGATACTTCACGACATAGAATGTCTTTTAATTACCTCTTTTGCTCTTGATATGCGAGCTCTTCTCTTTCTTCTCGCTTTTGACCATCTGCTCGTTTCTTAACGATTCTGTAGAAGACGTAGCATAACAAAAGGACAATAGGAATTAACACTGCTAGCACTATGCCAGTAGTAATTCCAGCTTGTCTTGATGAATACTCTTGCTGTCCTGTTTAATATTTGTTACAATTAACTACATAAACCAATATATTTTTTATTTTGATGTGGAATGGATTTTTAATAAAAAAAAAGGAACAGACAATGATCCATTCCACATCACCCTCTAGCAAATATGTAACTATCATATAAACGAGCGAATCCTTTGCATTGCATTGCATTTAATGAGGCATGTGGAACAGATCACCCCTATTCTTCACTGTTAACATTGATTAAAATGTTTATTTCGCAATATAAAATATACAAACAATTAACAGTACACATCACATAATAAAGTCACATTGTCTTCCACATGCCACAAATTTAAACGAATAAGTAAGTACCATAGTAAGATTAAAAAAAAAGAAAACATTTAACACATTAAAAATACGGTGTAAAAACATTAATTTTTAAAGAACTGCATTTTACGTAAACTCTTTAGTTTTTCTGAAAGGTAAGTGTCCAAACAATTATGGTAGAGAGTCTTTCAAATTAAGTTTTCACTGAATTTCAAGAATTAAATATTCGACTGAATTGATTTTTGTAAGTCTTGGTTGAATATATTTTTGGTAAGTAATTGAAAAATTATTAACTAAGTAGCTTCTATACATCAGTTATGATGCTACTCTGACTTGCAGAAGGACGTGTTGAATGTCTTAATGTTTGAGCTTTGGGTTTATTTACAGTTGCGTAACTAACATCTGGTGATGATTTTTGTTCCAAAAGATTTGGATCAGAACTCCTGTAAGATTTTGTCAAGTCGGGTGATGGAAGAAGAGGAGGATCTAAAGTTGTGTGTCTGACATTTTGCCTGTCATACGAGAAAGGTTCAGTATAGACAGGACTAGCAGGATTTCGAGGAGTCGGTGGTGAAGAACTATTATTAGGCGATTCAAAAACAGTGCTCGTAGGAGAAGCCAAGTCAGATCTTCTTTTGATATCGGAATCCAAATCTGAATCAAGATCCCACTGTTTATCTTCGAAATCTATTTCTGGTAATCCCTTTAATGGTTCGTGGGTTCTGTAAACTTTATCGTAACTTCGTCGTTTTTTACCAAAACTTCTCAGGCTATTGGTATCGCTCGGTACAGGACTTCTGTATGTATATTCTTCGTCTGAAGGAGGTGTTAATGGACTGACTGGTCTCATGTTTGCCACCATTGCTTCTTGTTCATTTAATTTTAGACGACTTGCAGCTCTCGAAGGAGGCTTTGCGAATAACCATGCGTGGGCATTTTTATTTTTTTTGACACTCTTGAATATTCTTAAAGTAATGTACGCAATGCAAAGGATAAGCGGAATAAGAATTGCAATGATAATGCCGCCAGTTATGCCTAATTGACGCGCTGAATATTCCTGATGCCCTGTTAATATTACAGAAAATTAACTTTCTGAGTAGGTACTAATAATGCACGTTCTCAAAAAAAGTGATTGCATTTTATTTAATTCTGCTCTACTCCAAAATTATAATAATTTCTTTGAATAGTAATGAGCACATTTGTAGGAAGAAAATTATGAAAAGTTTTTAAATTCATGTATAAAATATAAATTATATTTCGAACCACTTAACATTTAATAACAGCATATTTGAATAAAACAGTTAAGCAAATATCTCTATCTTGTGCATACTAAACCTTTCAAATGTGTCAAGGCTAGTATATAACGTAAATTTCATGTATTTAATGGGTAAAGAACACCTAAAGTTTTATATGAACTTCACACATCTGGTTTCTTATTTTGGAGAGTTTGTTCAATAGACGTAGGTAACGTTTAATGAGCATGACTCATGTTATATAATTAAAAATATCTTCCGAGTATGTCTAACGTTAGAGTATACACATAAAAAAAAAGTTAGGTACTCACGTAGACATTCAGTATATCCATATTCCGGTAAGTTCCAGTTTCCATCAGGAAGACATTCGCGTCTAGCATCACCGATTAAAATGTAGTTTTCGTTACATTCAAATGTGACTCTTGTTCCGGGTACAAAAAGGAAATTACTTTTCCTTCCAAATCTAGGAGTTTCTAAAACTCCGCAGGAAACAACCGTTCTAGAATTAGTTTGACGAAGATTTATTATGCTACTTTTATAGTTGTGCGTGAAATGAGCCAAATCTCGATCCAGAGTCATTGCATAATCGTATCGGCACTCATAGTACTCTGTGCACAACTCGTACGCTCTTTGTATGTCCAAAGATCTATTAGATGGTAATATCATTTCTGGTAGCATATTAAACTCTGGCAAAAACGTTTTATTATTGTAATAGCTCGATGTTCTTCCAAATTCTCGATAGAACAGAGCCGCCCCTTTGTCTACATCTTCCTTGTCTTCTAACATCCAATTCAAACCGAAATCGGTATAAACTGATTGAAAATTGTTAATATTTGGAGTAACTACTATTGTTCCATCTGGATTAGTGTAATCATCGTTTATGTCAAAACTCCAGTTACCTAACAAGCCTCTTGTCTGATTCTAAAAGTACAACTCATTAATTACTGTAAAAGTTACAAAACTTTGTCTTAATCGCTTACTATGTACGTCCATGGCAAATATACTCTAGCAGTCATGTACCCTCTGTTTTCCACTACTTCTACACCAGCACCAGTATCAAACATAACTATTACTTCGGATTGATTAAGTATATACGTGGGCGTATAAACAAGTACTCCTTAAAATAAATGCCATTCGTAAAGGAATTATCTATTTGTACGTAATAATATCCAAAAATTTTACCTGGAAAATGCTGAAATTTCAAGCCAGGTCTGTCAAAATATACCCGTTTTCCATCGGCGAATACATCCAGTCTGTATCTCCATTGAGCATGTTCTGGTCTTATCCTTACTTCTATAACTGTCGAACTATTGCCTCTTGCAGCGACTGAAGTCATTTGTGTGGCTTTTACTTCTCCATAAGCATTATTTTGCATTTGCTCAAAACGTACTTGGATGTCCATTTTATTTCTTTGGGTGTTCACTCTGCTAAGTACGAATTCCCCTTTTCCATTGAAGGTGTATTGTAAATTATCGTAAGTAATAAAGTGGGGATCTCCGTATACTCCTCCAATAGTAGGAGCCTGATATGCAACACAATCTTGAGTTGGACGCCTTTCGAATCTCAAAGTTTCACATCCAACTGCTTGTTCTTCCTGCCAAATGCAGCACAAATATTTCGGTACCATATCGTGGTACCACTGGGAAAGCGTCGGAACTTTAGTAGCTTCAGTCCAAGGGAGATAGCCAAGATTATGCGATCGTCGGGGACTTGAACCCCACATTTGGTCGTAAGATAACATAAGGTACCCATTCTTGTCATAGCAACAATGCTGCTCTGAACCTTCCAAACTAATAATTTGATATTTGTTAAAAACTTCTTATAATGGATTATTAACTTTTAATTTGTACTTATACTTACGTTGGGGCTCCACTTCTGACGCAATGCATGGAACCTTTGTTATACCAGCATCGAGGATTTGAATCTTTGTCACAGTCGAAATCGGGCAGAAATCGTCCCTTATCCGACAGAGCGTGTTCCAAACTGCAAGGACATTGTGGTAGTTCGTGGGCAAAGTTTTTAAGATATCGGTCATTCGTAAGCCATTCGTTGCACATAGTTCGTGGCCAATTTGACCCGTAAAGTCTTTCCCATTGCGGACCAAAGTACCATCCTAATGGAATAGGTCTACTCCATATTATAGGTGTGATTTTAGTATCGGTATTTCCGACCTGGATAGGTTCGGTTAAATTGATTTGAATGAATCCAAATTTGATATCAGATAATTCTAAATTATCACGATTCCTGTATTCGGCTGGAGAAAGGGTATATTTGCCTGCGTTTGTTGTAGAATCAACTAAAGAATCGATATAAACAAACTGAGGACGGATGGTAGTTTCTTTGTAACCCCAAAGGGATATCCTAATATTCGCATTATCATTGGTGGTTAAATTATTTTTCACCCACGAAATTATTATCTCAGCTGGATTTCTTTCATGAACCGAATAATCCTCAAAGAAAATTTTTTCTGCAGCTTGGGCGGGAGGCTCTGCAGAAAACGGAAATTTTCAATGTATCGATATAAGAATTTGATTTATCTAAAACTTACCAACAAAGTATTTTCCTTTCCATTTGTATTTTTCATTATTTATTGCTATTTCCAACCGTACGTAACCCTCAACTGAAAGTCTCGGTTGTACGCATAAAGCTCGATTGGCATCGACAACAGTACCGAAAACTTCATCTTCGACGTCAAATTTGCAAGTAATCTTATCGGTTGGCCTAAAGCAGGGTCCAGTAATATTGACAATTGTTCCACCTAACATGTTACCACTCTCGGGGGCAAACATCAAAGGTAAATTCGCTCCGTCTGAAAATTGTTGTTATATTCCTTAATAATAATACACTCTTGTTTTGTTTTATTTTCAAACTTACCTATATCTTTGTTACAACTACCGGTGAGAATATTTTCGTCTATTCTAAAAATGTGTCGACCTTGGAAACCATTGCCCCATCCTCTTCCTGTGAGGTCCCTAATAACGGAAGCTTGACTGTAAGGCTGATATTCCCAGCTTCTGGTTCCATTTCCTGCGTTGAACCCTACAAACGCGGGAATACCACCCTCTCCTCTTAGGGTATCTCCTCCAGCTTCGGTGTGTGATGACCATTGTAAATCCAAATAGTTAAATATAGCATAGGTAAAAACTTCATCGGTCGCGAGAATCATTTGGAACGTATTTGTCTAAAAAATAAAATACCGTTACAAAATAGTAAATTTAAAGAAAAGATAAAAACTGAACTGTTGTTAGAGATTGAGTAATTCCCCCTGCAAACGTTAAGTTTTTCCATGTGACAATAATGGCGTGTTTTGGTTCAAAAGTTTCGGATCCAATCACGCCCTCGCGAATGTCCCACTTTAGTCTTTCTCTAACTTCTGTTCCGAATTGATCAGTACGAGTTTGAAGATCCCTTTCTAAACGAAAATAGACACCGGGCCTTCTTTGATCAATATCCTCATTTCTCAAACTGCCAATACGACATTTACTGAAAAATATTCCTATGAACGATGGATCGTTGGCCTTAGGCCAATCTTTAACAGGAAAAGTCAGTGGATACGATGGATATGTTTCTGGGGGATCACTGAACTCCAGGTAGCCATTTATGGAAACTCTTGTATAATTAAATCGGAAACCCATGAAAGGAAGTTGAAAATTTAAGTTTTTATGTAGCTGGGGGGATGAGTTCTGGATAGCTTTTTGCCAGTCACCAGTACCATCATTACCACCCATATCATAGTACCAGTACATGAATGTGGCTCGTAATTCAGCAAGACGACTTGCTGTTAAGACATAGGGAATCCCTCCTCTTTGATATTCTTGCGGAGGAGCATAACGTGAAGTTAAGGAATCTATAAAATTAAGTTATTCTTAGTAAACAGAAAATTAATATCTCTATTTTGTAAAAATACCCCAATTTGTATAATCTACATAGTTTTCTCTGGCACTCAACAATACTCCTACAGGCACGACAATATCATCTGATTTTATTTCAGGTTCGAATTGTGGTTCAGGTTCAGGTTCAGGTTCAGGTACAGGTTCAGGTACAGGTTCAGGCTCGGGTTGTGGCTCTGGCGGTGATTCTGTATCATGTGGTGGTTCCAGTGGTTCTTTTGTACCATCGTTAGGAAGTTCTATAAAAAATGCGCTGACATTAAAAACAAAAAGGAAATCTGAAAAAAAGAACATGTATCTAACTTGCTTCAACACGTTTCGTTGTGACCATAAACTTTCAACAATCATTTGCATTGAATATGAAGATGAGATACTTTTAAAAACCAATTAAAGCAAAGCATCTTAAACGTACTAATAATATAAAATTTGGAACGCTTAAACTTTTATCGAATAAATGAAATATGATTCCTAACATCTGCATTGGAAAAATTACATTTAATTTTTCATTCAGAAATGGCGGATGTGCTGGGTTAAGGTAGCTATTAAAAAGTGTTTATATTCTACAAATATTATTAATTCTACCAGGTTTTATCTTATCTTCCTATCTAAAATTCATAGAAACTCGTTTATGAAGAACTCAAATGATACTACGGCAGGTAGGTACCATTTTTAACATCTAGCTGGGTTAACTTAAATGCAATATCAATAGATGATAATAATAGATTAGAAATGTCAAGGAATCGATAAACTGATAAATTAAGATTTGATTATTGTGGTATAATACAACTAAAAGTATTTTCCAATGCGTAAGTAAAATATAAACATATAAGATAAAATGCCAATGATAGAAATATTCTCATATTTCCATAAAATTTTGTTAAACGGTTTTCTGAAACTAAAGATAACTATGTTTTCTGAAAAAAATAAGTAATCAAAATTACTCATAATTAGTTACAAGCACCTATATAAATAGTAGTACCAAAAAATAAAGGGTAGAACTTATCTATTTAAAGAAATACAAAAGAATAACGTATTTTAGGATAGTTTTTCAAAAAATCTGTAGGTGAATTATCAATACGTATCATTTATTAATTTAAATAATCTTATTTGCAGGTAGCATGAATCATCAAATAATCATCACCAAAAATTGGTACTTAAATCATAACGTAAATTAACAACAATTACAAATTAATTACTTTTTTACTAAAAAAATTAAATACCTAGGTGTTGTTAGAAAATAGGTACTTTAACGAAGTTTGTTGTAACTTCTGCAGTACCTATTTATCATACCAAAAAAATTCATTGTTCAAATTTATTATGGTGTAATATGCTTTCGCAGTTAAACACAAACACATAACGTATTTTCATTAGCCTTTAAAAATTAGTTTAGTTAGTTCATATCTTTTCATATTTTCTGTTTATTTGAACCAAAAAGTACACCTAGACTTACACTTACGAATAAATGCAAATGGCGTACGATACATAATGGCGTTCTACCATGAAAACTCAAAAAAATCTTTAGAAATGATTTTACAAAAACAAAGCACATTTTTTTACGTTAAAAGTTGTGTAATATATAATCCATTACCATTTTCCGGTAGTTTTGGTTCAGTATCATCAATATACGTTGGATTAGGATTTTCTTCTTGGGGCACTTCACCTACACTGCCATCGTCTTGACCAAAAGCTGTACAACATGTCACAAAAAGCACTAAAGCAATTTTAAGTCTCATTTTGAAATTAAAATTAACACTTTCGGGTATTTCAAACGGCCCTGCATATAGAATATAAAACAAAAAGTTCAAAACGACAACCAACGAATAAATGTAATTAAAATGATGATTCTACCTGTTCTACTTGTCCTTATCAGTACTGATAAGAGATGATAATATTGGGTGCGTCCCTTTATGACACATACACTACTGTGTAGCTAACTTTTTGAAAGCGCAGAAATACAATAACAAGTGCATGAAAAATATTTATTTATTTGATTTCAATCACTTTTCTTCTAAACATTTCTTATTCTTATTTGATACATTTATAATATAAAAATAGTATAGATGAACTGAACTTCGTATTAAATACTTTCTCTATTTTAAATGTTATTAAACATTGGGTAGTCTTCACACTTGATGTAGGTTCAACGATAAATTTACAAAAAAAAAATTC